ACACATATGCTTTTTAATCAACCAATTTCAACTGTAATCATCTTTTTTATTCTGACAAAATGAATACTCATGTCAGTATAATAAAGTACACAAAAGAATATACATAAATTTTCCTACTTTCAAATTCATGAAATGAAATGACAATGTCCATCAGTTTCTTGATGCCATAGTTGAGGCATGTGCTGATCAGTAGAGGCAGTCTTGGGAATGCTGCTCCTGAAATACCACCCTTTTCTTGTAGTCAAATCATGCCCGATCGAGATTAAGTCTGCAATCCCATCCACTGTATGTAACCCTCCACTCTGCAAAGGTTAGTACCACCAACACTGGATGGGGTTACAGAGTTGGGCACAGTACACTTTGATTCCTGCCAGTAACTTATCTAGCCTGTTTTAGATTCAACTTCTTAAAAATGGTACAAAATTCTATAATTCTAATTGTAGCCTTATGGCAAACAAGATAATTAGGATATTGCTTGTTTTGTGATTTTTAATCATAGAAGCTTTACAAGGGAGTAGTGTCAGTTTATCAATAACAAGTGAAATCAGGCTTTAAAATTGTTGCTAGTGCTATGAAAATAATTATTTCAAACATGGACCATTAGTTTCTGACCAGCTTTCATAAATACAGGAAAGTGATTTCAGCAGTACACAGAAGAATGGGGTGGAGCAAGCAAAAAATGAGCAGAGGAGGAATGAAGCACAGACAAGACTCTTATAGACTATACTTAACAGCTAAATTGAAGAATACTGCATTACTGACATACCAATAGCATTGCTAACATAAACAATAATAACCCAGTCACTCTTTCATGTAGCACTGAATGTTTAGTGGCCATTAAAGTATACATTATTAGACAATTGGCCCATCCCCCAAATTGAATCATTGAAGACATTCATATTATACTGAAAGCAAGTTGAACTACAGATATATAGGTTTCCGGTACATTTGTTAACTGAAGTCTTACAAGAACAATCATTACAAAATTGAAGATACTAAAACTGCATCATTGTCTGTGGTAGAGAGATTTTTATTATAGCAAGTGCTGGATAAATAGATACAAAGAAAAAGAACCTGGAAATGAAAAGTCCTATGCCAGGGTTCCCATCTTCAAATCGTTAAAGCAACTATGGATTGTTTATTTTTCAGCCTCATCCAGCTGCTTTATAAGTTGTTTCCAATGAGGGCCTAAAGGCACATATTTATCTAATTCATGTAGCAAATGAGAATACCATAAAAATACAGAGCAATACAAAATCAACCTAGTCCTTATCAGAATTCTGTGTGAATATGCGTACAGTTCTAATTTTGTACCTTAACTTCAGGCCAATGGAGCATCCTTGCATTATTTTTGTATTTCCTACTTTTGGTATTGTTAAATTACAGTAAATTATATAAGCACAAGTATGTATATAAATCCATAGCCGTGTTAAGAGTAATGAGCATTTTTCTGAGTTTTACAATTTTCCCTCAAAAAGATTTATTTTTATATATATATATATATATATATATATATATATATATATATATATATAATGATTATACAATTATATATAATTTATGAGTAACTGGACTCTAGTAAACTCAATTTTTATCTGAGTAAAAATAAGCAAATTTAGAATTGATATACTAATACATCAATTTTATCCTGTTTGTTTTCCCCTTGTTTTCCCTTTATGCAGATAATTGTATCTTTAATTAAGAATGCCTAGAACTAAATAAGTCAGAATACATCTTTGAATATGAGACATATAATTCTAAAGTTTGTATGGAACTGAGGTTATTCTACTAGGCCACAGTGTGGTCAAGTAATCTAAAGTTGGCAATACTAAAATAAATCAATTTCTGGAAAATGAACCCATATTGAAGACGGCATGCTTTTTTCTGACAAATCTAACTGGTACAAATTAAGAAAATAAATGTTCATTATATCATAATTTTGCCTTATATTTTCTGCAGATAATTCCAGGAATGTTAAGTTTTAATCCAACAGCAATCAATAATAAAACTGAAACTCTACGTATTTCTATCATTCAAGTTCTTTTTAAAAACACATTTATTTTGGTTTCAGAATCCATGCTTTCAAATTTACCTTTGTCAGTTATCTGTTTATGGTTTAGCTAATACCATCCAGAAAAGTGCATATCACTGAGATTACTTAGTGGAAAAACAGATCATTGCTCTGAAAGCCTTTATAACTTCAAGGCAAATTTGTGAAAACCTATAAAACTCTGTAATGTAGCTGGTTTTATTATTTATACAACCTATGCGCTCCATTTAGTAGATATGAATGATTGTCCAAATCACTAACAGAAAATATGCATCCTTCTAATAATTCTGATCCTGGATTAAATAATATACCTACTTGTTAAGTGTAATCAAGGTAGGTCCAATTCTGGCAACTCTATGGACAAATGCTCACAATTTCAATCTTATCTTTGGAACAAATCCTTATTTCTTCCAAAGATACCCCTGTAATAACCTTCATCCCACCCTACAGTTAGGCTTATAGCTAGAGAAGACATGTTAGAAAGCAGCAAAAAAAAAGAAGAAAAATCTCTTAACATCTTTTTCAACTAACATATTTTATTAAAAGGCATGAAATTTCATGACTTGTAGTTTTCACAATATCTAAAAAGGATAAACTAAGGCGATATAGAAAAACCTTATTCTATGTGTTTTAAAAGTTAAAGAGCCAAAAATTAAGTTTGCTCTAGTAATTAAGGCACCAGACTAGAAATCAGAGATTATGAGTTTTAGGCATGAAAGTCTCCTTGGTGACCTTGGGTCAATCACTCTCTCTCAAGTCTAATTCATCTCATCTAGTTGTTTTATGGAGAAAATAGGGAAGGGATCTTGTAGGTCATCTAGTCTAACCCCCCACCCAAGCGAGAGACCCTACACCATTTCTGACAAATGGCAGTCCGATCTCTTCTTGAAAGTCTCAAGTGATGGCGCTCCCACAACTTCCGAGGGCAAGCTGTTCCACTGGTTGATTGTTCTCACTGGCAGAAAGTTTCTCTGTTTTTCCAGGTTAAATCTCTCCTTGTTCAGTTTCCATCCATTATTCCTTGTCTGGCCTACAAGCACTTTAGAAAATAGCTTGACCCCTTCCTCCCTGTGGTAGCCCCTCAAATATTGGAAGACCGCTATCATGTCTCCCCTGGTCCTTCTCTTTACTAGACTAGCCAAGCCCGGTTCCTGCAACCGTTCGTTGTATGTTTTAGCCTCCAGTCCCCTAATCATCCTGGTAGGAGAAGGAAGTAGTATTAGGTATGTTCTCCATCTTGAATTATTTATAAAAACAATAAAGGCAGGATAGTAAACAAACACAAAACAAGCAAACAAACAGTTGTTTTCTGGAAAGTTTTGTTAATTATTAAAACTATGTGTTCTTTATTCTAGGCATGAAGACTTACAGTACTGTTGTAAGATTTCAGATAAAACCTCTGCCTATGGCTGAATACCTTTGGTAGCTACTATTTTTCCCCATTAATTTGAGTTATGAGATCATGAATGTTATGCCTAGACTTTATAATAATTATGTGCAATCTATGAGTAGTGGACCACATATCTTTATCTTCCCAAAGAGTTATCATTATTGCACAACTGGAAATGATATAGTTACTAACTGAAGAGCTGTCGGGGGAGGTGCCATTTTTAAAAAAGGTGGAAAAGAGAAGCCCACTAATTATCAAGTACCGATCTCTAAATGTATGTTAGAGCAGGTAATAAATCAGGCTAGTATATATATCCTGAAAACAATTGTTAATGAACTTTGGCAGGGAACTGTTCTAATAGGCAAAGGGAATACCGTGAATATAATTCACCTTAATTTCAGCAAATCTTCTGACAAAAATAATTCATGCAACATTCTCATTGATGAGTTCTAGCAAAACTGGCTAGTTAACTGCTCTGAGAGTTAGTTACTGCTTTATATCAATATATCTTGAGGTAAATATTATTTAAGATTTAATTAATGATATGGATAATTACACTGATGGGCTCATTATCAGATTTGAGGATGATAAAGATTGGGAGACCTGGCCAACTTCCAGAATGACAAAACTAAACTAGTTTAATCTGGACAAATTGGCAGACTGGACGGACAGGATCAAGATGTCAATTAATAAGGATCAAAGATGTAAGGTATTACATTTAGGGAGAAACATGTAGGACACACGTACAAAGGGAATCATGATATGTAAGTATTAAATTATTAAAGGAACTGACAGTAAGATGAACATAAGCCAGCAGTGAGAAAAGCTGTCAGAAGAGCTAATCCAGTTTGGGGCTGCATTAGAAGTAACATTATATCAAAGGAATAATGACATTAAGTCATTATTCCTTTCCATTTAGAATTGGTGCATGCATACCTGAAGTACTGGGCCACCATATTTCCAGGTAAATATTTACAATTTTGAGAAATTTCAGAACATGCCAACAAAGGTGATATAGGAATCTGAGGACATATGCTTTAGGAACAGCTGAAATTATTTCTCCATGTCCCTTCATATACCTAACAGAATAAAGGTGGGATTATTTTTGGTTTTTTCTCATGGAATAATCTCAACATGGAATGATCTTTTCTGAAACTCTCCATTAATGTTTTATTCATTTCTTCTTCATATCCATGACCAAAAACCATTTCTTCACAGAACAACTGTGGATCAGACTACCTGTAGTGGTAGATTTTACATTTCATCTTTCATCTATGGGGTGAACAATTAAGATCTAAAGTAGGATAAATTGTTTGACTTTTAACAGGACTGTGTTCTGCTAGGGGTGATAATTTACTACCTTTTTACTACATTCATTCAAATGGAGAGAATATAATGTAAAAAAAACTGACAGCTAAGAGAGGTTGAAAAAATAGTATGAATATGGACAAAATTTAGACATGCTAATAACATACCTAAATCAACAATATGTTAATGACATATCTAATCAAGAACTAAGTCACATAAATTCCTTGCTATTCAAACAGCCTTTACACTTACCATCACCTCACCAGATTAGCAGAGCCTTTCTACCCATCCTTAATTTCGTCTCCTAGAATTTGCAAAAATATATTATGTCAGTATCTTCTGCGGTTTCATTAAAATCCAATTATAAATTAGCAATTTCTAATACACTTTAACAATCCTTCAAAAATACTAAATATTAATGTATATTATGTTAAAATTTGCAGGTACAACACTATTTTGGGGATTTATAGTATAAAGGAAAATGATTTAAAACCATAGACAATGCAGACAAAAAACAATGAAACTAATGGATAATTTATGATAAATGTCAATGTTATAAAAACCCAAACTGTCAAATTATACAGTAAGTATGAACTGATAGGGTTAGGGTTCTGTATTACTGTTCAAAACATTATTACAAATGTATAAGGATCCAAAGGTAAGCCTGTTTTATATTACAGGTTGTATGCATTTTGAGTCTCTGCCCCTACATGCTTGCAAAGAGAAGGCACCCATACGCATTTGACCAGCCAGTTTAGGCTATGCCAGCTTAGGACCCTAGCCAGTTTTTTCCATTTTGGTGGTGCAGGAACTGCATGAGAAAGTTTATTTATTTATTTAGTGTACGGCCTATTATATGTAGACTAACATTATATATTAACATTTCACCTAGATTAGTAAAACACAATAAAATGTACATGTTAAAAAAGATCTGTGTTCAAATACAAATGTCTAGCCCATCTAACCACTGAAGCACATTATTGTTTATATTTTAAAAAATCAGATACTGCAACAATGTATCCCTTCAGATACAGCCTGTCAAGATGTGATATACAGTTTGATGTGGGACACAGCAGTCACGCAGAATGGATGAGACTATGCCCCATTTATATGGAGAGACCCAGCAGACCGACAAGTTAATTGGCCTTAACGGAGCTCTTGTAGTGATTAGTGTTTCACTGTGAGGAAAAATTTGATTAAAAATAGGGCACTACAAAGGGCGCTTGGTCAGTGGCTGCAGAGCCACCTTTTACTCTGCCCATTGCCACTTGACTGTGGGTCCTTATCCAGGAGGAAACATGCGGAAGCTGTTGGCCATCTAATCACCCCGTTGCCAAGTAGGAATAAATGTTCTGCTTGAGTTGGGGCTACATGCAAGAGTGTCCTTCAGGAAGCCCTATCCTTCATTGCTTCTTCCATTTCCAATGCTCATATTAGACCAGGGATGCACTCCTTGCAATATGCTTATCTGGAAACCCACTTTTTCCCCACACCAACCCCTTTCCTCCCAAACAAACCACCACTATCCAAGTCTTCCAACCAAAACACCCTATGTCTCTGCCCCAATCAATACTTGTCTTTGGCACCTCCCTGCCCTATCCTCATCCCATTTGCCAACAACAGTCCTAATAGAGTAATTAAAGATGAAGTGATCAGAACAGCAACTGCTGGCACTAGAGCTGTGCTTTCAATATGATTACTCTCTTCTTATTCCTTTCCCTCCAAATAAATGTAAATACCACTTTTGTTAATTATCAAGCAATGGGATGAGCATTCCAAAGAGATGTTAGGAGGCAACCAAAAATACAGTTGCAGTCATGTGATTTTCTATCTAGTAACTGCTTTGCTTAGTGACTAATTGTGGTCACTAAATGTTACCTGTAATACAACTTAATTTCTTCCTCTAGACTCATGTGAATTATTGCCTTAAGTTATTTGTAAAAATAATAAAGGCATGACATGAATAAGTAAATGAAAATAAATAAAATGATCAGAAGACGTACAAGAGGAAAGAGGAAGACGTGGGCTACTAGATTTTAAATTAAGGAGTCCTTGGTGATATCTGAGCTTGCTTATTGTCTTGCAGTTTCATTATCCTAATTCAGTTACACATCAGTGCTAGCAAGGAGTGCTTGTTTGCTGTCAGTTTATCATCTGGTGACTTGCCCGTCTGTGTAGATGGGGGCAATCTTAGAGATTCTTTGATTGAGATGTTTACTGATGGCTCTTTGGCAGTTTTTGATTGGAGTATTGTGTACTTGATTGTTGGTCTGAAGTTATCTTGGAGTTAATCTATGCTGATCTGGTGCCAATTACTGGTGGAGAGGTTCTGGAGTCTTTTTGTTCTCTTTTGGGTTGGTTATCTCTTTTCCATAGTTTATAGATGTTAATATCTATTAATGACTGATTTGTCAGAGTGTCAGGCTTCTAGAAATTCCCTAGCATTTTTGGACTTGGCCTGGTCTAGGATTATCACATTTTCTCAATTGAAACTATGATTAAATATGTCTATATGTTGTGAAATTAAACTATTTTCATCCTAAGTTCTGACTGCCAGTTGGTGTTCATGGATGTGTTCTGTCAGTCTTCTGCCTGCTTGCCCTACATAGTGATTGTTGCAGTTCTTACATTGTATGTTGTAGATGACTTCTGTATTTTCTTCTGGGGTTGCTAGTTCTTTTGGTTTGTTTGGGATGTTTTGAAATATTTTAGTTGGTTGTGTGCTACACTGATTCATCAAGTATATCTCGGAAACGACCAACAGACTACTACAACTGGAATCACTGTGTGCAACTCCTTTTAGGGTTAGTATTGGTTATGCTGTATTGGGTTGAGCAGTCATTGACTTTTTGATGATGTTGTGTGGCTATCTATTTTGTTGGAATGTGTTGCATAGATGCTCCGTTTCCTTTGTCTGCTGTTCCAGGTGTGCGTTTTTGCAGTGTGTTTGGGCTCGTTTAAATAAAGTCCTTGCACAGCTTCTCTTTTGAGAGGTTGGGTTGTTGCTTTAGTAGTGGAGCAGCTGGTTAGTATGGGTGGGTTTTTTTGTAGACTTGTATTTCTAGTTTGCCATTGTGTCTCTGATGATCAGGATGTCCAGGAAGGGTAGCAAATTGTTTTCTTCTATAATAAACTGGACTCCTTTAAAAAATGTTATTAATGGTTCTGTGGTTGTTCTCTAACTGATCCTTTTTTGTTATGGTGAAGGTGTCATCTATATACCTGATCCACAGTTTTGGTTGTATCTGTGGAAGTTCTATCGCTTCTAGATGTTGCATGACAACTCTGCTCTAAGTCCTGAAAGCAGTGATCTCATAGGTGTCCCTTTAATTTGTTGGTAAATTTGGCCATCAAATCGGAAGTACGTAGTTAAGCAGAGGTTTATGAGATCCACAGTTCCTGGTGTTTTGATCTTTGTGTATTCCATTAAATCAGGTGTACTGTGAAACAATGCAGTCATGGATTCTTTGGCTAATTCTGGATCTATAGATGGGAACAGGGCTGTGACATCAAATGAGACCATGATTTTAAACTGTATTTTAGAGGTGTGGTAGCTTAGTGGCTTAATGACACTGGAATGGTTTCTGTTCCGGCAGTTTGAGTCCTAGCACTGCATGTCAGGGGGAACGCCCGTCATTCACTCATCTTTGAAAGTTTAAAAGCATGTTCTTTGTGAATAGATAAAATAGATACCACTTCAGAGGGGCAGACAAACTGATGCTCTGCGCAAGCAGTCAGATTCCTGTCCTCTGTACTTTCTCATTTGCAATGGCTGTTTGCAAGGTGGCTCTGGGGTGGGAGGATGCCTTGGATGACATTGCAGGAAGAGCTGCTTTTTTTCTTTCTGGTGTGAAGCCGGCTCACCCTAATGTGGCGCACTATGGGAAGGATTTTTTTTCTAAAGCAGAATTGACACTTTGGCAACGAAACTATTACTCTGTAATTGCATTGTAGTCTTCTGGCTAATGTAACAATGCCATACAACAACAACAAAACAACAACAATAATCATCTTGTGGGACTTTTGAATACAGATGGATAGTCATTTAGAACACAACACACCAGATATCACAGTCGTCGAAAACCGACGCGTACAATTTATTGATATTGCTGTACCAGGAGACACCAGACTCGAAAAAAAGAACTAGAAAGAAATCATGAAATATTGTAACCTGGCCATCGAAACTACGCCATTATGGATGAAACAGGTGACAGTGATACCCATTTTTATCGGGGCACTTAGCAACATGTCCAAGAATTTTACAAAATACATTAAGAAATTACAGCTTCCTGCAATAACACCAAGCAGAACTGCAAAAAAACCTGCACTATTTGGAACAGCATACATTTTAAGAAGATACTTGGTCAATACGTAGGGTGCTGGCAGCAACCCGTATCAACCATCAGTGCCAGTCAATAATATTTGTGATACATTTTTAAATGTTCAGTTGACTGAGATTCATGTTTAATGAATAAAAGTATTATAGTAATAATAACAACTGTATTTTGCTGTTTTCTTTTTGGTTTAAATGAAACAATGCTTGTTAAGAAATAAGAAACTTTTAGGAAGAAATGCTATGAGGTTTGGCATGGTTACTTACGATATGACAAGTTTAAAGCAGATTTTGAAAAATAATATTAGGAATGAAATAGTACACATATATAGTAGAGATAAAACCCCAGCCTATGTACGAAAATATTTTTACTGGCATCAGTCCAAGAAGTGTTTTATAGAAAAGAAGCAGGCAATGACAAATGGTTAACATATAAATATTTACTAGTAGAGAGCCTGTTTGGTGTTGGTTAAGGTGTGGCCTAGAAACCACGAGACCATGAGCTCAGTCCCACCTTAGGCATGAAAGTTAGATGGGTGACTTTGGCCCAGCCACTCTCTTGCAGTCCAACTCCACCTCACAGGGTGGTTGTGAGGAAAAAGAGGAGGGAGTATTATAAAGTAATAAAGTAATAATGTTGAGATAGAAATGAAATAAATCAAATAAATCAATAAACAACAATGGGGATTTTAGGATGAAATCAAGAGGATAGTTACAGAAGGATTTAGATTTCAATGGTTCTCACATGCAGAATTAAAAGAAAGATTTAATATAAATAAAAGTATTCCAGAAATATAATATGATAAAATAGATATGAATGAATAACATATGAAACAGGAAGAGCATGTTAAGAATGTATGATAAAATGATCAAGAATTTTGATTATAATATTCTTCTTTCTTCTACACCTACAGTGTAATTCCACAGTAGGTTTAAGGAGCTGCAGATAGCTACTTGTGTGTCCTCCCCTG